GGTCCTGTTCTTGCCCACTACTCCACTGTACTACCATGTCGAGCGGTCCTGTCTGGCTCCCTGTCGGGTCTTTACCTCCCCTCGTTCTCTACGAACTTGGTGGCAGGTGCTGACCTACAGGATGGGGGGGTTGACCAGTTCACCCCTGCGCGTCAGCGAGTGACCCACTGCACGTGTGCAGAGACGGGCCGACACTTGGCCACGTTTACCCGTCGGCCGGGGTCGAGCCTGTACACCCTGACTACCGAGTCTCCTCCGGTTGCTGTGCCTGGTCAGGTAGCTGCGTCGGGTCAGGTGTTTGCTGCAGCGTCTCGGTCTGGTCCTGAGTCTGCCCCCTGCTCGTGTCGCCTCCTGTCCCACGAGACTCTTCTCTGGCACCACCGTCTTGGTCACCCCTCCCTGCCTCGTCTCCGAGGCATGGCCTCTCGTGTCCTGGTCTCTGGTCTCCCCCGGTCGCTCCCTCCCCTCCCTCCGGGGCCTGCCCCTACCTGCGTCCCCTGCGTCGAGGGGCGGCAGCGCGCCGCTCCTCACTCCTCCGAGTTTCCGCCGACAGAGGCTCCGCTGCAGACTCTTCACATGGACGTGTGGGGCCCAGCCCGCGTCCGTGGACAGGGTCACGAGCGCTACTTCCTGCTGGTGGTTGACGACTACTCACGTTACACCACAGTCTTCCCCTTGCGCCGCAAGGATGAGGTCACTGAGGTGTTGATCGACTGGATCCGCGCGGCTCGTCTCCAGCTCAGGAAGAGTTTCGGCTCGGACTTTCCTGTTCTGCGTCTGCACTCTGACAGAGGTGGAGAGTTTTCCTCCGGCCCTCTGCGAGCCTTCTGTCGTGCGAGGGGCATCCGCCAGACGTTCACGCTTCCGGCCTCTCCGCAGCAAAATGGGATTGCTGAGCGCCGCATTGGCATGGTCATGGATGTCGCTCGCACGTCCATGATCCATGCGGCTGCTCCCCATTTTCTGTGGCCGTTTGCGGTTCAGTACGCGGCGCGTCAGATCAACCTTCAGCCCCAACTCCCCATGCCGGACACCTCCCCCACTCTGAGGTGGACGGGGCAGGTTGGCGATGCGTCTGCGTTTCGTGTCTGGGGATCTCGGGCTTTTGTCCGAGACTTGTCTACGGACAAGCTGTCCTCCCGTGCTGTTCCCTGCGTCTTCCTTGGCTTCCCCCCTGACGCGCCTGGTTGGCAGTTTTACCACCCCACCTCGCGCCGTGTTCTGTCCTCCCAGGACGTCACGTTTGACGAGTCGGTTCCGTACTACCGTCTCTTCCCCTACCGCGCTGCCCCCCTTCCCCCCCCGCCGCTCTTCCTTACGCCAGGTCCCCCCCCGGTAGACCCCCTCCCCCCTCAGGGTCCTGCTCCTTCAGGTGTGTCTCAGGTAGACCCCCCCCCCTTGGCTGAGCCTTTGGAGGTCACTTCCGACACCTCTGGCCCACCTGAGGGGGGTGACGCTGTTGCTGACGCCCCGGCGGCCTACCGCCGCGCACCACGCTTGGAGACCCCTCCGGGGTTCCCTCCGCGACCTTCTTCGCCGCCTCTGCAGCCGGTTACTGTTGACTCTGGTGCTGTTGGGGGTGGTGCTCCTGGAGGTGCTGCGTCTGGGGGTGCGGAGTCTGGGGGTGCTGAGCCTGCGCGTGAGGAGACTGGAGGTCCTGCGCCTGGGGGTGCTGTGTCTGGGGGTACTGAGCCTGTGTGTGCGGAGTCTGGGGGTGCTGAGGCTGGAGATGAGACGCTTGAGGGTACTGGGGCGGTGCCCGGCCTACTTGGAGTGGCCGCCTTCGTCCGCGTGTGCCTCTCACCACTCAGCAGCTGCACGACTGGTACGGTCGCCGTCAGCGTCGCGCTGCTGGAGCCCGGGGCTCTGCTGCTGGAGGTACTGGAGCTGCTGGGGCTGGGGGTGCTGCGTCTGGAGGTGCCGTTGCTGGAGACACTGAGGCTGGAGACCCTGGGACTGGAGGTGCTGGTTCTGGGGGTGCTGCTGCGGGAGACACTGCGGTTGGAGACCCTGGGACTGCAGGTGCCGGTTCTGGGGGTGCTGCTGCTGGTGACGCTAGTTCTGGAGCTGCTGGCGCTGGAGGTACCGGTTCTGAGGCTGGAGCTTCTGGAGCTGCTGGAGCTGCTGGAGGCGCTGGAGCTGCTGGAGGTGCTGGAGCTGCTGGTACTGGTGCAGCTGCGCCGACACGACTGTTCTTCGCTCTGCCGTCTCCGTCGTCTCTGCCGCCGCCTGACTCTGCTCTTCGTCAGGTTGTTACTCTCCCGTCGTCTACTGGTCTTCCGTTACAGACTGGCTCACCGCTACCTGCTCCCTCTCCTTACACTGAGCAGCCAGGCAGTGCGTGTCGTGAGCCTGCGTCGCGTCCTACCTCGCCTGTTCGTTCTGGTCGTACCGTTCGTCGTGTCGCTCGTGCGCGTCAGCCGGCTGTCCCCAGCGCACACCTTGTTGTCCGTCGTCCTTCCTCTGCTCCGCAGCCTGTTCCTCTGCCGTCTCCCCCTGCGTCCTCTCTGCCTGCCGTTCCGGACCCTGCGTCTGACCGGTTTCGTACTGAGCACCCTACTGTCACGCGTCTCCTAGCCACTGTTGTCACTGACCCGTCGTTTAAGTCTACTGCTGCGTCTGCCTTGGTCGCTGAGCTTGTTGACTTTGCTGCTGCCTGTCGTCTAGACTACGCCACTAGTCTTGTTGCTGAGTCTGAGTCTGTCTGTCCTCCGTCCGTCGGGGGTGAGTATGCTCTTGGCACGGACGTCCTTGAGGACAGGCAGGAGGAGTTCCAGTGTCTTGCTGCTGCTTTACCTCATCTTGTGTCCTCACTACTTGCCCCTGAGGGAGACCCGGATGCACCAGACATCCCGACTCCACGCTCTTACGCGGAGGCGATAGAGGGTCCCTACTCCTCTCAGTGGCAGGCAGCCATGGACGCAGAGATGGCTTCCTGGAAGTCCACAGGCACCTACGTTGACGAGGTTCCCCCACCTGGGGCGAACATCGTCAGTGGCATGTGGATTTTCAGGGTGAAGCGGCCGCCGGGTTCTCCGCCTGTCTTCAAGGCGCGTTACGTGGCTCGAGGCTTCAGTCAGTGGCAGGGAGTTGACTACTTTCAGACCTTCTCTCCCACCCCGAAGATGACCACTCTTCGGGTGCTGCTACACATAGCCGCTCACCGTGACTACGAGCTTCACTCTCTTGACTTCAGCACAGCTTTCCTACAGGGCAGCCTGCACGAGGAGATTTGGCTGCGCCGCCCACCTGGCTTCACTGGGACGTTTCCTCCTGGCACCCAGTGGAGCCTCCGGCGGCCAGTCTACGGTCTCCGCCAGGCGCCGCGTGAGTGGCACGACACACTGAGGACTACGCTTGCAGCTCTCGGGTTTGCTCCTTCTACTGCCGACCCGTCGCTGTTTCTGCGCACCGACACCTCTTTGCCGCCGTTCTACATCCTCGTGTACGTCGACGACTTGGTCTTCGCTACAGCTGACACTGCCGGACTTGCCCACGTGAAGTCCGAGCTGCAGAAGCGACACACGTGCACAGACCTGGGTGAACTGCGCAGCTACCTCGGCTTGCAGATCACCCGAGACAGAGCACGGCGCACCATTACACTGTCTCAGTCACACATGGTGCAGCAGGTCCTTCAGCGCTTCGACTTCACGTACTCCTCGCCTCAGGCCACTCCTCTGTCTACTCGCCACTCGCTCTCAGCTCTGCCTTCGGATGAGTCCGTAGAGCCGAGTGGCCCGTACCCAGAGCTTGTTGGCTGCCTCATGTACCTGATGACCTGCACGCGACCTGACCTTGCATACCCTCTTAGCATCTTGGAATGCTATGTTGCTCCTGGGAGACACCGACCAGAGCACATGGCTGCAGCGAAGAGGGTGTTACGCTACTTGTGCAGTACGTCGGGCATGGGGCTCGTGCTTGGAGGGCGGAGTCGAGTGGTCCTCACGGGTCACGCAGACGCGTCTTGGGTCGACGACCTGGCTACACAGCGGTCGTCACAGGGTTACACCTTCAGCCTTGGTTCCGGCTCTGTTTCGTGGCGGTCTACTCGCTCGTCTTCTGTTCTCAGCTCCAGCTGTGAGGCTGAGATCTACGCAGGAGCCATGGCTGCACAGGAGCTGCGCTGGCTGACCTACCTGCTGACTGACCTTGGAGAGCCGCCTCGTTCTCCTCCAGTTCTGTACGTAGACAACAAGGCCATGCTGGCCTTGTGTCGGGAGCACAGACTGGAGCACAGAACGAAGCACATTGCTCTTCGGTACTTCCTTGCTCGTGAGCTGCAGCAACGTGGTCAGCTGCGCCTTGCTTACGTGGCCTCTCAGGCCAACACTGCTGATATCTTTACCAAGGCACTTCAGCCTTGTGATCATCAGCGCTTTTGTACTATGCTAGGTCTTGTGCCTACTTGGCCTCACTTGCTCACTTCTTGACCTTGCTTGTACTGTGATCTATATATACCTGCACCTGCATGCTTACCCTTGCTAGGTTGAGATCACTGCATTGCTTGTTCACCTTGATATATAACTCTGCTTGTGAACTGGCCTTGTGGCCTTGTGCTTGTGCTCAGAATGCGTGGTGACGTTGAGATCCACCCTGAGCTTGTTTTGCTTTGTTTCCTCTCTTGACTGGTCTTGTGACCGTTTGTTGTGTTGGCTATCCCCCACTTCGCCTATGGGGGTGTGTCAAATTATATGTTTAATGTTATGTAGGCTGTAGTGGGTTTAGCCTTAGGGGGTACAGAAACTTGCTCGACACTTGTTTGTATCCCCCTCCAAACCCTAATTCCATCATACCTTCATACTATCTTCACATGTTCTCGTTTTCGCCTAGCCTGTTTTACACCCTGATTACTAAGGGTGGCCCAAAACGAATCTGAAGGCCTGCTGCTGCCTATGGTGCAACGGGCTGAAGAAGTATACAGTGTAGGTGGCGAAATATGTACACTGGTAAACGGGATCCGCATACAGCTGGCGCGCACGCACACAGGATGAAGTGAGTTGTCATGGTAGGGAGCATGGGCCAGCCTGATGGTGGATTGCACATCAGCACAACAGTGCAAGGGAGACAGGAGAATGGAGTCATTTTACTGTGATGTGGTGAGAGAGGGCATGAGAGGCGAAGCGAGAGTGAAGAGCTTGTGGCACACGCGAGAAATGCAGAAAAAGCTCACTGCTGGCACAACAGCTCAGCAGCAAGGTTTGTGCCAGCAGTGCAGTGCATTGCAGTGCACATGCCATGGTTGGAGTGATGAGATGGGAGCAAAGCAGCCAACACCAGTCGGTACAAGTACCTAGAGTACCAGTCTGATTGTGTGGGGCTTGCCTGAGTGATGTGGAAGAGCGTGCAGACAGGGTGTGTGGGCGCCATGTCTGCAGCGGCGTGCTCCCTTTGCGCGCACACAGGCACTCTGCTCCCCTGGCGGGCATGCGCGGGCAGGTGTGCATGCGCTGCTTGCGATGGGCACATCCAGCACGCGGAGAAGAGCTGCGGTGGCACATGTTGCGCTGCCAAGAGAGGGATCGGATACATGGGGCAGGGGCAGAGGGGCAGAGGGGCAGGGGGGAGAGGGGGGGGGGAAAGAGGAGGGCGGCTTGGAATCAAGTGGGTGTGCACATGGAATGAGTGACAAGATTGTGGCTCGTGACATGCAGTGCAGGGCAGAGCAGGTGCTACAGCAGAGGGTGATCAGCAAGCAATGGGTGAGCGATACTGGGGGCAATACACCGATAGGGCAGTGAGACGAGTGAGATTGCATGCACTACAAGTACAGCTGGCAGGGCGTGCATGACAGCAGTGTTGAGCTGAGTGTGCAGGACAGGGCTCTTGAAGAGGAGGATTGTGATGAGGGAAGATAGCAGGCGCATGCAGGTGGTGATGAGAAGGCGAGGAGAGAAGGACATGGATGAAAGTGGCAGCGACTGACTGGGAGCACAATGGGACTGGGAAGGTTGGAGAGGGTCAGAGGGCGAAAAAGGGCCCGCAAGGGAGAGGCGGTGCGAGACAATGGCCTGCAGGGAGGGGCGTGGAGGGTGGATGTGGGGCACAGTGGATAGGAGGTGGAGATATCTGATGTAAGTGTGGCAGCACGCAGTGCGCCTTGGAAATGGTGGCATTCCATGCACGGGGAGATTGTGGTGACCCGTGGGTGCTGCGCATGCAGCAAGGAGGTATTGATGGGCTGAATGCGTACAGGCATGGAGAGTGGAGCAGTCACACCAACACACAGGCTGCATAAGGCTCATGGTGCTGCTCATTGCAACATGCACGGCCACCTGAAGATTACCACACAGATAAGAGGCTCTCAGCAACGCTCTGCTCCTGCACGCCCACATCACACCAAGCACACCCTCATGTTGCTTGCTTAACAAGTCGGCACGTGAGTAAGTCGCTGCTACCAAGGCGTCTGAATGACAGCAGAAACGGTGTCAGCACTGTCATATGACACACAGTGCACAGCACCCACGGCCCCTTCCAACCCCCACGCACCTGCCATGCAGCAGGCATGTACTCGCGTGGGGGCACATGCAGTGGCAGCACGGGGGCAGCAGCATCCCCTGGCGCACTGGATGGCTCACGTGCAGCAGCAGCGGCAGCGGCGGCAGCAGGGGGCAGGGAGCGAGCACCAAAGATGGCGGTGCGGGCAGCAACCACGGCCACCCCGTGCCACTGCGACAGCTGCTGCAGCTCCCGCGCTGCCACCTCTGCCGCCGTCACCCACGTCAGCAGCTTGCCTCCATGGTCGCTGGCGAGCAAAGCAAAGGAGGGAATAACGGTGAGAGGGCGACGGGGAGGAGATTGAGAGTTGGCTTGAGACAGCATGTGAGGAATGGGTGCGTTGTGGGGCTGTGTGAGAATGCAGGCAGCGGCATGGCATGCAGGATGTTGCTGGGGGTGAGGGGTGAGGGATGTGCAAAGAGCAGGAGAGGTGTGCGCAATGGCATGGCGTAAGCAGGTAGACATGCACACCTTGGTGCGTGGGCAGGAGGAACAGCCCGGTCCAACCAGTAGAAGGCCCCGATGCTGGTATGTTCATGCAGGGCGGGGACGAGGGACGAGGGACGAGGGACGAGGGATAAAAGACAGTGTTAGAGATGATATTATTAATGGTGACAAAAACGATGGGAACGAGGAGAGACCATTACAAGTGACGGCCTCACCACAGAGCCAGCCGTCATAGTAGGATAAAGATTATGTATGAAGGAAAATGTGCAGGGCAAAGATATGCTTGGCGAGGCGGTGCGGCATGGAGAGGCACACACGAGTCAATGAGCAGCAGAGGAGGACAGTGGGTGAGGTGCGATGGCATGCCATGCTGCCCCGCATGGGCCTCAGGACTAAACCAGCTCCGCTGCCCCCCCTCACCACCCCACCCTGCACCCACATCTGCCCCCACTGCCACATCCCCTGCATCCACTCCCTGCTCGCCCTGCACCCCACTCGCCTCGCCTGCCCCCACGGCCTCCATTCTCTCCACCGCCTGGCCATCATTGGCCCCTTCCCCCACGCCTGCAGTCACCCCTGCACCCATGCTGCCCACGGCAGGGGGGTGCTCGCGCTGCTGTGCACGCCACGCGGGCAGCAAGGACGACACGGACTGCACGCACGGCACACAGGGGGGGGGGGGGGGGGGGGGGGGGGCGGTGGCAGTGCATGGGCACCCGCGCGCATGAGTAGCGTGTTGGGAACATAGAGGGAGTGAGCAGGACGAAAGGAACGAGGAGAGCGGGAAGTGAAACGTGGGAAGGAGGCAGTGCAGGGTGGAGGGGCTAAGAAACAGGCAGTGACAGAGGTCACGACGTGCGGGCTCGCATGGGAAGGGGCATAAAAATACGAGGGAAAGGGATATGGCATGGCATGGCGTAGAGTGCACCTTGAGGCATGCGAGCCAGTGGCATGTGTTGCGGCACGGCAGCAGATGGAAGCGACGCAGCGCTGCTTGCACCAACCCCTCCACGCGCCGCTGCTGCTGGTGCTGCTCGCATGCGTGTGCTGGCGAGCCCTCCACGGCTTCTCCCACGCACTGACGAGCACGGCGCAGGGAAGAACCAACAGATGGACACACATGGGTTGCAGCGCAGATAGGGAAGTCTCAATGGGGGGAAGGGGGGTTGGGAGGGAGACGAGAGGAGGGCGCATATGAAGAGAGGGGACAACAGCCTGCTGCTGCATCCCACGCATTGCCCCACAGCACCTGCGTGGCCCCCTCCCTCCTGCGCGTCCTCCCCCCATGTGTGCAAGCCTACGCACCTGCATGGCGCGGGCGTGCAGCAGGTGCAGGAAGCGCGGCGAGGGGAAGCGCGCGTCGAGGTCCATGTACACCACCACCGCGCCCGCGCCCGCTCCCACTCCCCATCGGCCCCACCCGCTGCTGTTGTTATCATGAGCACCGCCAGCGGCAGGTGGGCGGGCGGGGCGTGGAGGGAGTGGCAGGAGATGCGCGGCCGCCAGCTGATGGAGAGTGGAGAGCAGGTGGGGTATGGTGCCATGGTGAATCACGCACGTATGAGTCATTCGGCACTACACACGAGCGTTCTTTCACACCGCATATGCTCCCTTAAATGTGCTCCGCCATCCCCCTTCCCTCCCTATGCTCTTGCCGCCATGCAATCTCACCCACTGGCGCTCACCCTCATGAGCACTTCCGTCTTGCCGCTACCACTGCCGCCCACCACCTCCGCCACTCCCCCGCTGCCCCCCTCCGCCACTCCCCGGTGCTCGTCCACCACGCTGAACCCCGTCCGCGCTCTCCCCCGCGCCTCTCCGCGCGCCCGTACCCGCGCCAATAGCGCCGCCGCCGTCTCACTGCTGGCGAGCTGTCGGCGCAGGGCGCACAGATCCGCGGGGGACGGCTCGGGGAGGGCGCAGGGTGTCGCGAGCGCGGCTGCCATGACGGCGCTCGGACCGGCGCAGAGCAGCACGTCGACTCGGCCCTCGAAAGTGCTGCTGGGGCGCTGCGGCCGATCGCCTCACGCGTGCTTCTCCCGCTCAAAACGTACCGCCTTCGTAAACGCGTTCGTCAGGAAACGAACGTATCATCTATGCTAATGCAAGATAATTCAAATTCTGAAGCCCAAAGTTGGAATCCGAACTCAGAAAAGTGCCCTGCGAAAAACGTCCTGACAAAATCAGCGCTCGCTGCGCAACTCACAGACCCTGGCGCGACTCGCGACTTTCGCTTCCTCCAGCCCCTTCGACTAGGTAGGTTCATCGCTATGATATGCCTAGGCTTTTGGTTATGTTGAGTTTATTATATCATAGCTGGTGTTATGAATGAACTTGTCACAGTGCGCAGATATCGAATAACGAGAATGAGAATTACAGAATGACTGAACAATGAAGTAGCGAGGCCTAAATAGGGGAAAACCTAGCTAGGCGGGGATGGTGTGGTAGGGTTGGCTCGCGAAGTGTCGCGATTGGTGCGGAGGCGGCTCGGTGAGGTTGGGATGCGAAATTGTAGGCCGAACCAGAGGCTCGCGTGGCCCTCGGGATGGCCTCGCTATCGAGCGCCTCAGTAAGGATTGGGAATTGATCAGACTGGGGCCCCGGGTTAGCAGAAACAGTGCCAACTTGGGGCCTCGTGAGTCGCGACCCTACGAAATAGGCCCGAAGCAAATCACAAGACTGGGCAGCAGGTCCGAACCTGGCAAACTCGCCAGGTCACCACCTACTGCCTTGGGTTTGACGGAAATCGCTAGCACCCCACACCGCTGGAAGCACAACAATCCGTCAAACCAACACGAAGTGTTTCTGCTTTCTAAAGTTCGCCAAACCCTGGTGTTTTCGCTAAGAGCAATTCGCACATCGAGAGTTTGACTTATGGGACCTCCCTCACAACCCCTAGACCGTCACGCTTTAGTGTCTGCATCTTGCTGGAGAGAGAGAGGCGTCACATTCTAGTCTAAGGTGAGCTCAGATTCCTATGCATCGATGTATTCGCGACGATTTCCTCCTTTTTTAGATTATTTAGTTAGTATTTGTCATACCGCCTCAATGCTCTTGCGAAATCGATCATTCTTCCGCCCATGATTAGTTCTTTTTGTGTCACGTGGCATTGATAGTACTGTAACTCCTTATCAGCTGTTTCTAGACCATTCTACAAACGACAACACAGTCCGAAGTTCCCCAACTCCTCGTTCTTTCCTTTTTTTTGTTTGGTTGATTGTTCAATCCTCTTATTTTCTCTTCTTCATGAATCATGTCAAGATGAACAACTCCTCGGTTGCTTTGGACTTCCCTGTGGGGAAGCGGTATGCTTCATCGGAAGATGCGAAACATGACATAAGGTCGCAATGCGGGGCGACAAGGTGCGCTTTCAAGTTCGTTGCAAACAAACCTCATAGGGTGGAGGCACGGTGTCCATCTTTTGCGTATAGGAAGAAAGGAAGGGCTGCTGTCAGTAATGAACCAGAAACGGAAGAGCCTTGCCCTTTCATGATCAGTGCTAGGTTGTGTATAGATGGCTCGCTTCGAGTTGTCACGGCAAACCTGCAACATGGTGCGTACTGCACGGTACATCCCAAAGGAGCTACACGAGCAGATCTAATTGGTTTCGCAAATACTATTCCCAATGTGGCCTTAGATCCTAAAACGTTGGTCAAGGAAGTCCAGCAACGTACGGGTCAGAGGTCGTCCTACACGACTTCACGAAGAGCAATACACGACATCAAAATCGCGGACCCTCAGCAGAATGATACTTCATTTCAGTATGTGAGGAGTATTCTTGAGGTTTTTGTGCGAGACAATCCTGGAAGTATTGTGTCGCTATCCAAGCGCGATAGTCGTTTCTACAGTGCATGCGCTATCCCGAGTGTAGCCCGTTCAACAATGTTGAGCGCCATGCCGATACTAATCATCGACGGGTGCCACAACAAAACGGTGTGGGGGGGTCAGACGATCAACCTTGTTGTTTTGGATGGTGACGGTCACTATGTTTCAGTTGGAATTGCGTTCGTCGAGTCCGAGAGCAATGAAAGTTGCGCCCTTCCAATTCGGCAGCTTTTGAAGGTGTTTCCCGAGCTCAATTCCCCGGAGTGGGTCATAAAGCATGACCGTGGTTCTGGATGGAGTTCGTGTGCAGAGTTGCTTCAGCATGCACACGAGTCTTACTGCATTACCCACATTGGGCGAAACTTCACCAAGAAATTTGGGAAGGACCTGAGTTCGTCCATTAAGGAGGCCGCTGAAACACTGAACATCGAGCTGTTTGAGTTTCGAATGGATAAAATAGAGAATGCGTGTCCCGGTGGTAGGGCTTATCTTGCGGGGGAAAGAGGTGAGTTGCTCTCAAAGTGGGCAACCGTCCATTTCCCTAGGTCTAGGTTCGGGGTCCTCACATCAAACCCCGTGGAGTCACAACATGCATCTATGCATCATTTGCGCGATAGAACCATTGCACAAGTGCTTCTTGGATGGATCGAGACTCTACCAAAGATTAGGCGTCGTCGGTTCCTAGAATACTCTCAAATGCCTGGCACGTGGACCAAGAATGCAACGGTGGTAATCTCAGCCAACAAGGATGACGCGTTAAGCTACGATGTGGAAAGCACCGGGACAACGACCTTTGCGGTTACCCACACCGGACGTCGGGAATCCCGTGTGGTGGATCTCGGGGAGCGAGAATGCAGCTGCAACTACACGAAGTACGTACATGTGTTATCATGTGTATATGGTCGAGATCTTGCCAACCTCCATTATTGTATTACGTGCATGCACCAAATTTGAAAGCTTGGGAATGTTTGTGCAAACTGGCAGAAATCTGAACATGTTTGAAGTATCCTTCCTTGTCCCTCAGCCCCCATCAAGCTCAACTTCCCCCTCCTCCTTCCCCCTCCTCCTTCCCCCTTCCACCTTCGCCTTTGTCCTAACCCTTCCTTCTCCCCCTTCGGCCTTCCCCGTCACCCCTCTACCATCTCCTTGCTACTGCAGGGAGTACGGGCTGCCATGTGTTCACATTTTTGCCGCAGCAGGGGAGAACAACCGCTTGCCTTTTGACATGGTTCATCGCGTGTTTCATCTCGATACCATGAAGGCCATGTATGGCGAGGACATGAAGCACATTGACCCAACATCCATCGTGCGAGATGGGGTTACTCTTCCACCTAAGTACAAGCGACGACCTGGAAGAAGAAAGAACAAACGGATGCGATCGGGTGGTGAAACCGATCCACAACGGATGCGGAGGTGCAGCAGGTGTAGGTTAAAGGGCCACAACATTAGCACGTGCGAGGATAGAGAGGAAGAGCGACTCGAGCAAGGGTTTCAAAGAACACCCCAGGAGCATCTTAGTTTCCAAACCACAACACTTTCTCGGATCTCCATCAACTATGTTCACTGTGAGGGATGTCAAACTCGACATAGGCTGGGGGGAGCTTGCCGTGGGGAGCATGGGCATGTACAGCACCAAGGACGGCCGCAACAGCGAGAGGATGGGCACTGGCAGGGACAAGGGCAGCAACAAGGGGAAGGGGAGCAGCAAGGACAGAGACAGCAACAAGGGGAAGGGGAGCAGCAAGGACATTGGCAGCAGCAAGAGCAGTGGCAGCAGCAAGGACAACTACAACAGCAGCAAGGGATTGGGCAGCAGCAAGGGACTGGGCAGCAGGGAGGGAATAGGCAGCAAGGGACTGGGCAGCAGCAAGGGACTGGGCAGCAGCAAGGGACTGGGCAGCAGCAAGGGACTGGGCAGCAGCAAGGGACTGAGCAGCATCAAGGGACTGGGCAGCATCAAGGGACAGGGTGGCATGAAGGGAGTGAGCAGCAGCAAGGGGCTGGGCAGGAGCAACGAATTGGGCAGCAGCAACGGATTGGGCAGCAGAGAGGGAGGAGGCAGCAAGGGGCTTGGCAGATGCAAGATTTTCGGCAGCAGCAAGGGACTGGGCCGCAGCAAGGGATTGGGCAGCAGCTAGGGACTGGGCGACACCAAAACCGAGGTCAGCAGGATGGGATTGGGCGACAGGAAAGGACTGGGCAGCAGCTAGGGACTGAGGAACAGCTAGGGACTGGGCAGCAGCAATGGATTGGGCGGCAGGGAGGGAATAGGCACCAAGGGACTCAGCAGCTGCAAGATTCTTGGCAGCAGGAAGGGACTGGGCAGCAAGAAGGGCAGAGGCAGCATCGAGGAGATGGGCACCACCAGGGGCAAGGGGAGCGGCAGTTGGACGGGGGGGAGGAAGAGGATAGGGCCCATGAAGGGGATGAGCGGCAGCAAATGCAACCGGATGGACTGAGGCATCAACAATCTCAACGGAGTGGGCGGCAGGCATCTGGGCGACGTACCAGGGTTCAGTTGCAGGAGCAACGCTTAAACATTGAGCACGTTTGGGAGCATTGGGAAGGGGGCCCGCGCATGCAACAGGACGAGATGCAAGGTTGGAACAGGCAGTTGAGACACGGGCATCTTGTGGAACTGCAGACGCAAGTTCATCATCATGAACAGCAACTGCATGTAGAAGTGCAGGGGCAACAGAGGCAGATACAAGTTCATGAGCCTCATAGGGAAGGGCAGTTTCAAGAGCCTCAGCGGCATGGGCATGTTGAGCAGCCTCAAAGAGAAAGCCATGTACGGCAGCAGGGTCAGCATGCATCACAACGTGGAAATACACCGCCACATGAGTGGATTGTACACATTAGAGATCTTCCAGAGGGCGCGGATGTGGACAGTGATTCATCATGCTCAGAGGAACCTGAGGCTGAAGATGAGATTACGGCTGATGACACTTCCGATAGCGGGAATTCTGATGACGGGGGGGATAGCAGTTCAAGCGGGTCGGAGAGAGGAACTGAAGACCAGCTTAGGACTGAAGAGCAGACCATTGGTGATGGGGATTGGGAAGTTATGACTTTGGGTGAGCCGGCCATACAGCTTGAAAGATGGCAGCAGAGTGTGAATCCAGAACAGAATGGCGGTGGAGAGGCTACTGTGGATGGAGAAGAAGGGATGAGCATGTTAGGTGAAGCCATGGTGGGAATCGAGAGGTCGGGTGGTATCATGTCGGCAAGGGCAGATGTAGGCTTAGGGGTTACTGGCTTGAACACCGCCGCAATGCAGCAGGGAATAGATGTTCCATCTCCCTTAGAGGGAGATGTGGTGGCACAAAACTGGGGTCATTTAAGGGTTAGAGGCCAAGACCTGTCACAAGAGGATGCGGTGGCGGCACGTCGTGTAAGAAGACGCCAACGACTACGATTGCAAACGGAAGTGGTACCCGAGGACGGTGAGGAGCCGGAGGATGATGAACTTAATGGAGCTGAACAGTTGACACGTTCACGAATGGCTCGTCGTGGTAGGGGTCGGGGAGGCACCGAAATCAGAGCACAACGAACAGCACTTCAAGGGTCTAGGGTTCGCGGTACTGGACGAGGGCGCATGCAACAAAGGGTGCAGAATAGGCAGGGGGAATCGACGATTCACCACGAGAACCCAACAGACACCTCTGATTTGCAGCAGCAGATACACGTTCTACAAGTGCAATTACTCCAGCAACAACAGGTTCATAGCGTCTGGTGTCAGCAAATACAACAACAGCAACGCACAGCTACTTCGGGTGCAGCGGCAACACATGTGCATCAAGCATATGAACTCCCGTTTCCTAATTTATTTCAGGGTCAACATCTGAGGACAGACCAAAGTCATCCCCTAATGCATCCAATGCAACACCACGGCATGGCTACCGGGGCTAACCAAGCCCCATTCCAGTTTTTGTCCGTCCCTGATAACGAACGAGCCAATGTTTTAATGGGACAGCGTTTGCGACGCCAAGAAAGACGGCGTCTCCTGCAACTCAGCCGTGCAAGAAGACGGCATGATGTAGATCCGGTCTGAGTGAGGAAGAGATGGACATTCTACCCCGGCATAAGCACTGCTATAGGTGAGAGTGTGCGCGATTATGCTGGAAGGGTCTGAATGGAGTTGGATGGTGTGTTTCAAGTGGAGGGAAGGGAAGGAGATTGTTTGTTGTGTACTGGGAACTTGAAGTCCATCCCTAGCAGCACCCAAGAAGGAGCAGGTGGGGGTGAGACAATGTGAAGCAATAAGAGGGGAGGGCAGAAGACAATGTGCCGTCTCGCCCCCTCCTCACCCCTCCCGTCCCGCTTTTTCCTTTTCGCAGACAGTTGACTCGGAGCTCCAAACTCTAGAGAGCATGGCGGCCTCTGTGGCGGCTGTGTCTGGAGTAGACTTCAATTATCCCCCTTCCACCCCCACCCCTTCTCTTCTGTTCTCTTTGCTCGCAGTCATTTGACTCGGAGCTCCAAACTTTAGAGACCATGGCTGCCTCTGTGGCGGATAAGCTAGAATTCTTCCACGAGTGGTGAGTGGCAACAACACTAAACCCTAAAACCCCTCATGATTATCTTTGCGCTGCGGCGCTGCCTCATACCCCGCCGAGAGGTGAGAGGCAACCCTCGCTTTACCATGCTGGTGATATATAACTTGCGTGTCATGCGTCGATGTTCTTGTCAACTCACAAATTGTCGTACAGGCCGATTGTCTTACGGTATCACCATCTTGGTGATATGTTACTGCCATCTTGCTGTAGCCAATGGTCAACGCGTCAGCTTTGCTTTGCCCTGCTCCTCCTCTTTACTTCACTTGACCTGCTTCCGTTGCTGTACTTTGAATTGCAGGGAAACAAAGCTGCGGCAAATGGTCAGTGCGACGCACTTGAGAGTGGCGTGCACGAGTCTCACTCCTCTCCTCGCCTGCATTTCCCTGACAGCCAAGCCATGCCAACACTGTCATTGACACCCCATATTCACATCAGACCCACTTGCCCTTTCTTGTCATTCAAATCGCAGGGAACTGGAGTTGCAGCGAGTGGTCAATGCAACACACTTGAGAGTGACGGGCACGAGTCTCGCTTCTTTCCTCTACTGCATCTGCACTAATTGTGCCAGAACCTGTCTTTCCTTCCTCCCTTACTGTCGTGTGAATCGCAGGGAGTTGGAGTTGCAGCGAGTGGTCAACGCAACACACTTTAGAATAACGTGCATGAGTCTCGCTTGTCTCCTTGTCTGCATCTCCTTGACAGCCCTTCAGTTCTGGCACCTCAAATCCTTCTTTCACCCCAAAAAAACTCTTGTAACCCGCACCTGCTATCAGCGATACAATAACGAAATGCGTGGTGTTTTTTTCATGTGCCTACCGTCATCGCCCGGATATAAGACAGTGTTGAATAGTAGACAGGGGTTGTCTATTATACGGGTGTCTCTTATAAACAGGCTAGCCTCATTATAAGACACCTATTTGTGTGTACGAGTTAAGAAAGTGTAGGAGTTAGGGGCAAATGTATAGCGAGGGGGTATCTTCTAAAAATACAGATGTACATTTAGTACTAATCGTTTTACGCTATAAAAAAAATACACATTATGTAAAGACCCGGGTGCAATGAAGCTTTTTCCGATGACAAGACCCCCCCTTTTTTTTGTGTAGTTATCATAGCACCCTAGGGTGGTATATCCGGGGGAATACGGTAGAAGATTTTTCATCGAAGATTTTACAAGGGAAGCACTTGCATGTAAATCATATATGTATGTATACATATTCTGAAAGAATGTGGGTAGGTTGGTTGAAATTTCTCTAACAGAAAAAGGTCATGAACCTCCCCATTTTGTGCCCACTCATTTTATTAATTTTCATGTTTCAGCTCTTTGTGTTCTGGCAGTCTTATGTTTCCGTAATAATTCCGAGTTGTTTGTTACATGCTGCTTGTGCTGTATCTCGATCAGACTGTGTTGGTTTGACGGATTGTTGTGCTTCCAGCGGTGTGGGGTGCTAGCGATTTCCGTCAAACCCAAGGCAGTAGGTGGTGACCTGGCGAGTTTGCCAGGTTCGGACCTGCTGCCCAGTCTTGTGATTTGCTTCGGGCCTATTTCGTAGGGTCGCGACTCACGAGGCCCCAAGTTGGCACTGTTTCTGCTAACCCGGGGCCCCAGTCTGATCAATTCCCGTAAGGATTTGTAAATCCTTACACTCTCCCACCTCCTAAATAAGGCAGCCCTGTAATGAAACGGGTCCCACCGTAGCGAGGATGCCGTCGATCTTCTCTTCAGCTGAATCCGACGGCTGAAATGCCTCAGAAAATATTGTTGAAAACGTTGGAATGTTGGCCGTTGATGCAGTCAGATTTCGATCTGACGGTCGAGGATGAACTGGCCCAAAATGAAGTAGAAGTTGTGTCATAATAACTGAACGAGGAATGGATGAACTAGCAGGAAGGTGGGTACAAGTATGAAACCCTAAGTTTGTGTACCCTCTAAGGCTAGACCCACTATAGCCTACACAATATAAACATACAATGTTTGACACACCCCCATAGGCGAAGTGGGAGACAACCAGAGGGTCACAAGACCAGTCAAAGCAAAGCAAAGCAAAGCAAAACAGGCTCAGGGTGGATCTCAAGGATACCACACAAATTCCGAGCACAAGCAAGCGGTCACAAGACCAGTTCACATGCAGTTTGATAATGTAGCAAGACATACAGTGATCACAACCTAGCAAGTGTAAACATGCAGGTATATATATATATATAAAGATCACAGTACAAACAAGGTCAAGAAGTAAGCAAGTGAGGTCCAGCAGGCACAAGGCCTAGAAGAGTACAGAAACGCTGATGGTCACAAGGCTGAAGCGCCTTGGTGAACACATCAGCAAGGTTGGCCTCAGTGGCCACGTAACGCAGACGTAGCTGACCACGCTGCTGCAGCTCTCGAGCAAGGAAGTACCGCAGGGCAATGTGCTTCGTTCTGTGCTCCAGTCTGTGCTCCTCACACAAGGCAATGGCAGCCTGGTTGTCGACGTACAGCACTGGAGGAGAACGAGGCCGCTCTCCCAGGTCGGTCAGCAGGTAGGTCAGCCAGCGTAGCTCCTGGGCAGCCATGGCTGTGGCGTAGATCTCAGCCTCACAACTGGAGCTGAGAACAGAAGAAGAGCGTGTAGAACGCCAAGAAACTGAGCCGGAGCCAAGGCTGAAGGTGTAACCCTGAGACGACCGCTGAGTAGCCTGGTCGTCCGCCCAAGAAGCGTCTGAGTGTCCAGTAAGTACAACTCGGTCTCGCCCTCCAAGCACTAGCCCCATGCCCGACGTACTGCACAAGTAGCGCAACACCCTCTTAGCGGCATCCATGTGCTCCTTCCTGTGACGGCCAGGAGCGACATAGCGTGCAAGGATGCTAAGAGGGTATGCAAGGTCAGGTCGAGTGCAGGTCATCAGGTACATGAGGCAGCCCACAAGCTCTGGATACGGGCCACTCGGCTCTACGGACTCATCCGAAGGCAGAGCTGAGAGCGAGTGACTGGTAGGCAGAGGAGTGGACTGAGGCGAGGAGTACGTGAAGCGGAAGCGCTGAAGGATCTGCTGCACCATGTGTGACTGAGTCAAGGTGATGGTGCGCCGTGCTCTGTCCCGGGTGATCCGCAAGCCAAGATAGCTTGTCAGTTCACCCAGGTCTGTGCACGTGTGTCTCCTCTGCAGCTCCGACTTCACGTGGGCGAGTGCCGCGGTGTCAGCAGTGGCAAAGACCAAGTCG